GTGTTTTTTTTTTTTTTTTTTTTTTTTTTTTCTGGTTTATTCTTAACGGGTTAACGGGTCGTGTCGGATATTCGCGAATTGTAACGGGTCGTGTTTGGGTCTAGTATTTGTCACCCGTTAACTTAACGGGTCGTGTTCGTGTCAACCCGTTAAGAAAACGGGTTAACCCGTTAACGACCCGGAACCCGCTAAAACGCCCCGTTTGCCAGCTCTAGCCAAGACCCCTCACTCTACCTCCTACACTGGCGGGCAAGGAAGGCAGTCGTGAGAGAGAATGAACACAAAAAATAAAAATAATTAAAAATTAAAATTAGGATTCTAAGAAATATATTTGAAGGTTATAATTCTAAAAACTTAAAGATTTTCTTGGGATTCATAGATGTCTGAGGGAGGCGATGTCGGTGTTTGGGTACTATGTGCGTGAAGGAGGTGAAGGGGATGGGAAAAACGTGAACAGTAACTGTTATCAATTTTTGTAATTTTCATTTTATTAATTTCAGCGATGAGGTAAATTATTTGTAATTTTCATTTTATTAATTTTAATGTCCTATTAATTTTAATTTAAATATTTCTTGCAATTTGTATATTTTGTTAATATTTCTTGTATTTCCATATTTATTTAAATGTTTCTTGCAATTTTTATATTTTGTTAATATTTCTTGTATTTCTAATATTTATTTAAATGGTTGTTGCATTCTCTATACTAGCCTCTCCGCACGCGCTTCTGCGCCTGCGAGAGGCTTTTTTTTTAAAAAAAAACATTTATTCTAGAATTAAAAAAGATAATGGGTAGTTGTGTTCCATAAAAATAGGCCATTATCTGATTTTTCTTTTAATTTTAATTTTTTTAAATATGAAAAAGTGTGAATTTACCATATTATCCTCATTTAATTAATAATTTCAATTCTTAATGTTTGCATTAACCAAGGACATTTTCTGGTATTTTGAATGTTTCACCATTCTCTGTCTTTTGCTTTATATATATAGATTTTGTTAATATTTCTTGGTTTTCATTCATATGTTTATTTTTTTTGCATTACCAATATTTTTTTTAAGTTCCTTGCATATTCAATTTTTTTATATATATATAGATTGTGCAAGCTCAAATGTGGTATGGTGCTACTGGACAAGGGAAAAAAACTTTCAACAATACCCAATGTTGGGAGGTGGTGAAGCATTGTAAGAGATTTAACATTATTCCAACGGCTCCAACGGTGGTGTTAAACGAGACGCCACTCCATGATTCACAAGCTTCGGATTCGCCTATGGAATCCCCTATGAGTGAAGACTCACCCATTGAAAAGGAGCCGAGGCCTATTGGGAGGAAGACGGCGAAGGCAAAGAGAGGAATTAATTCTACCAGTAATGCCTCTAAATTTTTGGAGGAAATTGCAAGGCAAAGCGCCTTGAGAATTGAAATAGACAGGAAAGCCCAAGATGATGATAGGGCAATGCGAATAGAAGATGCTAAAGAAAGGGAGTATGTACGCAAAGAAAAGGAAGACAAGAAGGATCGGGAAACCATGGCCATGGATACAAGCCATATGTCTCCTGAAACAAAACAATTTTGGAAACTAGAACGAAAGGCTATTATGAGACGAAGACTTTTTCGTGATGATGGACCTAGCAATACGGATTGGTTAAATGATGAAAACCCTTAAGTTAGTTTGCTTGCCTTTTCATTTCATTGTATTTTAATGTTTGGCTTTAAAAATTAGTTGTAATTCATGTATTTTATTTTATTAGTAGTATTGGCTTTTTGTTTAAGTTACCAAAGAAACTATTAAATAAAATTCATTTTTATTCAAAACATTCCATACATAAAAAACTAACCACAACCAAAGCATTAAAAATATAAAAACAAACAAACCACAACCAACTTTAAGTTACCAAAGAAACTATTAAATAAAATTCATTTTTATTCAAAACATTCCATACATAAAAAACTAACCACAACCAAAGCTTTAAAAATATAAAAACAAACAAACCACAACCAAAGCATAAAAAAACCAAACATAACTAAACATAAAACATAAACATTAAAATCTTAAAAAACATCTTCACTTCACTTCATTCACCATCATTGCCTTTCACCGCCCATAAATGCTCCATTAAGTCAACTTGACGGCGTTCATGAATATACGACAATTGCATCTCCGTATATCGATCAATCATACGGTTCATGAAACGACCATCTCTAACCAACGGTTCATGCTCCAATGGTTCTCCATTTGGCCCTATGGTTTTTTCATAAATTCTTGTCAAGGCCGTGTTCATGGGATCCGGTTCGTACACCTCTTTAGCTTCGTAATCATACTCATCCTCCACAATCATGTTATGGAGGATGATGCATGTCATCATTATGCTCATCAACACCTCCTCATCAAACATACGCGCCGCACCCCTAATGATCGCCCACCGAGTTTGGAGGATACCAAAGCATCTCTCCACATCTTTTCTGTAACTCTCTTGATAGGTAGCAAATAATTTTTGCTTCTGGGTTTGGGGATGCGGAAGTGATTTCACAAATGTTGTCCACCTCGGGTAGATGCCGTCAGCTAGATAATACCCAGTTTGGTAGACGGTATTATTGATTTCATATGTGATTTTAGGGGCTTCTCCTCTCAAAACATCGTTGAATACCGGGGATTGACCTAGGACGTTCAAGTCATTTTGAGATCCAGCAACTCCGAAGAAGGCGTGCCAAACCCATGTATCGAATCCTGCAACGGCTTCAAGGATGATACTTTTTTGGCCTTTCCGATTTCCGTAATCTCCCTGCCAAGTAGTTGTGCAATTCTTCCATTGCCAGTGCATGCAGTCGATGCTACCAATCATTCTTGGAAATCCTCTTCATTCGGCTTTCTGTAGAAGTCGTTGCAGGTCCTTGAGCGTAGGTCTGCGCAGGTAGTCCCTGGTGTACAGAGTTTCGACTGCATCACAAAATCTAACCAAACTCTCCAAACCAGTGGACTTCCCCATCGGGGCAATCTTATCCACCTGATCAGCAGATGCACCATACGCCAACATTCGTATAGCAAATGTGAACTTTTGTTCGGGAAGCAGTCCTAAAACACTAGTACAATTTCTCTTTTGAACAAAGTATTCATCATAATTGCAAATATCATGCATGACTTTATTGAACAAATGTTGTTGCATTCTATATCACCCTCGAAAATGAACATCAGAGTACAGAGATGTTGGGATAAAATAATCTTCCATAAGATTCTTACCCCGAGAATGCTTATGTCTGTCAACATTCGGGCCACGGCCTTCATGTGAACCACCTGCTGCTTTGGTTTTCTTCATCAAGCAAAGCCACAGCCATGACAAGTTGCTGATCTAGTTCTCTCTGCACTCTTTTGCTTGCAGCTCGTCTACGCCTTCTTTCTCTTATTTCTCGCTCTTGCCTCTCCAAGACCTCCTCCATGTCTGCCACTGAGAATGGAATATGGAATCTGAAATCTAAAATTTGAGAAATGAAAATTTTGAGAAGATGTAGTGTGAGAGGTTTGTGAGCTGAGCCTTAGTTTTATAGAAAAATTTAGGTCGATAGACATGACATGTGGCGCAATTTTATAGGGTGAAAATCTTATCTGAAATTTGAAATTCAGATGAAATTTATCTGAAATGTGAAATTCAAATGAAATTCATCTGAAATTTGAAATTCAGATGACACGTGGCGCAATTTTATAGGGTGAAAATCTTATCCGAAATTTGAAATTCAGATGAAATTTATCTGAAATTTGAAATTCAAATGAAAAGTTGAAATTCAAATGAAATTTATCTGAAATTTGAAATTCAGATGAAATTTATATGAAATTTGAAACAAAAATTTATCTGAAATTTGAAACCGAAAATCTTATCCGAATATTTTATCAGAAAATCTCATTTGAAAATATTGTCCAAATTAATTGTTTAGGTAAACAAATTTGTGAAAAAAACAAAAAATTGAATAGTACTTGCCCTTTGCCATGGCAACTGCTGGAAGTGCAACTTACTTTTTGCAAG